GATCAGATTAAGTGCTGAATTTTGGAATGCTGGATTAGGGGTCCCATACCCTTTTCTTTTCCCCAACCCCTTTAAAATATAACTGATTGATTTCTCCTAATCAGCTCCAATAGAAATGACACGTGGAGGAGGTGGGGTACACCCCTCTTTTAAACATTTTCTTCTCTCTTTCTAAGTTGAGTCACATTGGGTTATTTCCATTGAAGGAGAGGGCATTCTACCCACTAAAATTCCACCCCCTAAGATTGTGAAAGTGAAACTTATTTCCTCTTCTCTCATTCCTTCAGAATTTTTTTGGGGCTTGTTTAGTTATTTATTATTCTTGTTATTGTTAGTTATTTCGTTATTATTAGCTGTTTCGTTATTATGTATTAGTTTTTCCTCAAATTGTTAACGGTAATAAATTTTAAAATCTTTTTATTTTAAAATTTTTCATATAATAAATTTTTATTTTACTTTTCTTATTACATTGTTTTACTGATTTCTGTAATCAGTTCAGCGTAGCTACTGCACCTATAAATAATTTTTTTGCTGTTCTTCTGTTCTTTGGCACGGTGCCAACTGGTAAGAACAACTTTATTTTATATCATTTTGTTGTTTTCTTTTTTTTTTTTGCTGAAAAAGAAGTTTTTTATTATAATTTAGAAATTAAAACTTTACTTTATGAAATGCATAAAAAAATTTAATTTTTTATTATGCAGATATTCTAAATGGTAATTTAAAGGTCTCTTCTAAAAGGATGCTGATATGCCCGGTTTAGCGCCATTGCGGCGCTTACAATAACTTTTTTTTTAAAAATTTCAATTTTATCGATGTGCGGCGCTTGCGACGAAGCGGCGCTTTCGCCGAAAAATACGGTACTATTTTCCCTCTGGCCCATACGCCCTCTGGCGTCACTTAACACTATGTGCTTTAACAAGAATTATTAAAATATTTGAAGCTGAAAAAAATATTTATGTGTGAAAGTGATAGCTTTATTTATTTTTCTTGGTGAAGTTTGACAAAGTCAAAATTTATTTCAAAAGTGCTAGATAAAAATATCTAAACTGTCTTGTTATTTTTTATGCTACGTTTTTTAATTTTGGACTCCTTGGATTTCTTCTGATCTCTGTATAAACCATGATATTTATTTGATATCTTAAAAAAAATTATATTTTTTAATTGTATCAATCCAGATTCCTCAAAGGTTTGCGGTATCATTTGCATGTTTTGCCAGATGTGGAATCAAATCTGCTGTCATTAAAATTTGTCTGCTTATAAAAGTTGTCAATTTTTATCATGCATTTTAAGCATTAAAGAAACATCACACATTAAAAAATAGTTTTTTTAATATTTTTTCTAGTTGGTAAGAGAAGTAAAAGCAGAAGAGTTTATACATAAACTTACAATTATTTATTACTAAAAGCAGACTATTATTTTAACAAGCAGATTGCAGCTTTCTCTTTTTATAAGTGATACGTTTTGTTTCCTCGACCATCTTTGTTTTTTTCTTTCTTATTTTCCATTCGTACTAAATTTCGTATGTAATAAATTAGTTCTTATTCAATAGTTTTAAGATATTCTTTTTTGAATTCAGTTGATCTCATTGTATCCTGCTTTGTCTCTGGTTTTAATATTCCTGTTGACGTTTCTTTTATTTATCCTTTCTGTTTGGTTAGTTTTAAGTGTTTTTATCTTATTATATATGAAGCAGTTTGTATGTTAAATAGAAGGTAAAACCTAAGACCATAGTAAATATTAATAGACGAAATAATTATTACATGATGTTTTTTTATATTTACAGATCTATACTCAAGCTTTTCTCACATAGATAACTATAATCAATCCAGTACATATCCCAGCAATTTAAATAAATCAAATGTAACTCTTTCCAAGAAGAAAAGATCTGCATGTTCACAAGAATCCATTAAATCTTGGTAAGAACATTTAAATGATCTTAGAATATTTCTTGTATTGTAAGATTTGGTTACAGTGTTGTGTGTTATTAGGATATAGAATTTTGTAAATTTATATATTAGTCCACAAATATTACTACAAGTTGTCTGCTAAGCTAGTTATTCTCCATTTTTCTAAAATATAGTTCTCTTAATTCAGTGTTTCTGTGTTAAATGTTCATGTAATGTGTAAAACGGTCAAAATTTAGTTAATAAACAATGAAATCATCTGTTCTTGACAGTTTTTTGAAATATTTTAAAGTAATGACATAAATTGTTCAAATTATTTTACTTTTCTAGAATTCTTTTATCATACTATTTTAACAGAAATAAAATAGCATTAATTTTTTTTAACCCGAAGTTAAAATATTTTACTAGAAGATGAACTCTACAAATTATTGTAAATTTATTTTCTAATTAGTTACTCAGTAATGCTGTTGTCACAACTTTTCAATATTATTCTGTGTATTATTATGAAAAGTTACTCCCTCAAAAGTTCTGTCTAAAAGCAATATTTATGTTAAAAATTTGTAAAATTATATTTAAATGCTAAATTATTACTATAGTCTAAAATTCCATACGATTTCAAATACATAAAAATTTTTGCAAATAAGTAGTAAGTATTAGTAAGTAAAGGTACTAAGGGTCATTAAATTAAGTTTTCTAATAGAAAAATCTGATTAACATCTACAACATTATAACAAAAAGAAAGATGATTATTTACCCGGCTTAATAAATGATAAATGGTGCTTATAAGAATGTCAAATTATTTGGCTTGATTTGTTAAAAGGAAGTTGGAAGAGTCATAAAAGTAAATTAATTGAAATCAATAGTAATTACAGTTATTAGTTGAATTGGGCATGCCATTAAAATAAAAGTATAACAAAAATTTAGTGGGAAGCACAATTGCTGATTGCTAATTTTAATTCTTCATGTGATTTTTAAAATAAAGCATAGCAATTTGTATTCTCCCAGTTTAAAAATTAATTTCATGTATTTACATGGATATTCACACTTCATGTATTTCATGTATTTTTCGTATTTACATGGTATAAAAATAAAACATTGATTTATATTTACCAGATTTTAAAATTGCACTTCATGATTTAGAAAACTAACATCTCAATTTGTATTCAGGTGATTTAAATAATTACAAATCTGAATTCGAACGTAGGTGTTTTAAAATTGGACATCTATATTGATATTCATGCTATTTAAAAATCAAAATTGTTATTGGTATTCAATGGATTTTAAAATCAAATTTCAAGATTTGTATTCTTGTAATTTTAAATATTTACTATGACATTTCTTATTCATGCAGTTTAAAACTCTTGCATTGCTATTCACATTTGTGATTCATTTTTAAGAGTTGACAGCACTAATTTGTGAAGAAAAAGTTAAAATATATTTTGTATCTGGCCTACTTATAATTTAAAATATAATTGTAACAATTATTTTTAATGTTCACCCAGATAATCACCCTTGTTAATGAATCTTTACATTTTGAAGTGTTTGCTTCTATGCAAAAAAAAAATCCAGATTTTTTATAAGTTTGATGAAATGGCAAGCCTACATTTTCTTAAGTTGCAGCTCAAATCTGTTATTTACTCACTTATTCATCACACCTAAATATTTCTTAAGATATTATTTAGCATCAGATTTAGCACGATTCTTATATTAATAAAAATCCATATTTTGTTTTCCTATTGGTTATGTTATGAATATTTTTATTCTTTTCCTTAAAGTACAGTACAGAATCCGTTATCCGGAAATCAGAAAGCAAAAAAACCGGAACAAAATTCTATACATTTTTCCGCCATTTTTTAAAAAAAATGTTTTTTCCCTCATAAGATTTTAGGATTTTTCTTTCTTTTTTGAAAGATGTTCATCTTACCATCATTTTGGAAATAATCATTAGTGTATTACTTCATCGTTTTTTCTTTTTTTTAAAGATTATTACCGAAATTTTTAATTTTTTTTTAGCTGGTTTTTACAATAAAAAAAAACGGCTTTTTGTATCGATTCAGAAAACCGGAAAAATCAGTTATCCGGAATAGCGATGGTCCCGATCGTTCCAGATAATCGGTTCCCTACTGTAGTAACAAATTAAAATCATGGTAATCCTAAATTCTGAACTTATTGTACTTATGATCTTACTGTTTAATTTTTGGTAACCTATAAAACTTATTGAGATAATGTGTATGAATGTAAATTAAAGTCCTCTTTTAAATAGAGAATCCTTTTAAATTGAAATTATCTGGTTTTATTAATGTCTTATAATTTAATTTTAATTAAATATTTTAGGTCAAGTATGACTGCTGAGGAGCAAAACAAGACATTACTAGAAATATCAGATACAGCTTGTAGAATGGGAATTGCAGAACAAATTGAAGTAATACGAATTATGAAACCAGGTGTTGAAATTTCTGCTGAAATGACAGAATTCACTCTAGGTATGTTGCTTACATATATTTTATTAAATCTAAAGCCATAGCATTCTGTTCTCCAAATTTTCATGTAACCATTCAATTTTGATTAAAAACCTTATATGTTCTGACATTGTTTTTCAATTAAAGCTTTAGAGCATGCGTTCAATGCTCCATATTTGTAATTGGATATGTAAAACATGTAGCAAAAAATTCAATATTGTTCTATGAGATTGATAAAATTAAAATTTTTTTGTTTTATAACATATTGTTTACCTTATGCCATCTTGTTTAGTATTGCCTATAGAGTTTAGAACAGTGATTTGTTTATGAATTAGGAAATTAACAATGAATTTTTGGCCCGGACAATAAATTTTTTGGAGTAGTTGGGTCAGAGATGCAAAAAATACTCTGCCTATTGTTTCTCCAAAATGTTTGGTATGAAATTTCCCCCACATTTAAATGACTTTTTTAGATATATTTTTGCAAAGAAAAATGTGTATTCTTCAGCTTATCAGAGAACCACTGATTCTCTCTGACACACAGGAGAAAATAAAACATTTGTTCCCTCCCTGCCCCTCTGGACTTCAGATCTTCAAGGTCATGGAAGAAATATTGAAGTTTTCTCTGGTCAAACAGAGAGAAACCTCAACCCTCAGCTTCAAGGATCAGTCAAATTTCTGCTTTCCCTCCTCAACCATTAGTTTTAAATGGTGGGAAAACTGAGCAAAAATTTCCCCCGTCTCTCTGGATATCAGATAAATGGTTCTGTACTGTACTCCACTTTCCTCATAGGTCGTAGGGTTACCAAAGTGTGAGAGTTATGTTCTCGGCAGAGAATCAAAATTGTGGTGCCATGTCTTTGGATAATCTTTAGAGGTGTTTCCCAGACCATCATGTATCCCATTGTTCAGATTTAATAAGTATTACTACTGTTCCAATTATGCAAAACTAGCTATTAGTAAGAATTTTAACAAAACGTGTCATTTGGTGGGATGAAATTCCAGAGTTCAAAACCATCCTTTTTTTTTTAAAAAATCGATTTTCAAAACCCATCAGTCATTTTTTGGACACCTGGTATTTATTTGTGCTAATTATTTTGTAATCTAAGATCTTGTAATAATCTGTGTCAAAATTTTAAACCTTATTCAATTATAATATTGACTAGTAAAAAGTTTCATTTAGAACTATATTTGTTTGTTTTAAAGGGGATGAAATTGGTTTTAAAGTCTATAAAATTAGTTAGTAATTAGCAACAAGATTATTTGCTGATTTTTAAAAAAAATGTATTATTCCATTTCAGATGTTTCCTTATTAAATGACACAAAGTGGAAAAAAATTCAAGAATATTTTAAAAGACATAAAAGGCCTGTAAAATCTCGGAAGTCCTCAAAAGCAGGAAAATCAAATTCTTCTGTGTCAAGAACATCTAAGAAACCTAGACAAAAAGTAAGAATATGATTTGAAATTTAAGCAAGTATTAATTTTAGATGGATTCTAAAAAATAAGAAATATGAGGTTTCTGCAAATGTCCAAAATGGACTACTAGCTTCTGTTGAATATTTCTAAGATAATACTTCCAGCTTGTTCATTATTTGTTAAACTATCACTCGTGCTTAATGTCTGAGTCATATTTTTTCAATGTAATATGGTATAATTATATTAAGTCAACTAGAAAACTGATGTTAAAGGTGCACTGTTCAGTAGCCCAATGCATCCTTGATATGGTCTATGTACAGTGCACAAAATAAAAATTGACCACCCTGAATAATTTTTGATCTAATGATCAGATATTCACGTTCTGGGACTCAATCTTAAAAGTTTGAAGGGATGACCTCAAATATGCTAATTAGTGTAGAAGGTATTTTCAATTATAAAATCTGACACAAAACACACTTTCTCTGAATAAACATACCTTTTTTCGGACACTGATTTATGATCCCTGGTACATAGGCAATCTGGGAAATATGGCCCCATTAGTTTAATCAGGTGAGTGTTGTTAACTTGACCTTTTTTGCGTATTTCACCATATCACTAGAACTTTTATAAAGAATTAATAAGATTTTGCAAGTGATTGTAAAATTTGATTAAGCCAAAGATAATTCTGTTCAAAATATAACTTAAAAGTAAAATTTACTATATTTTATTAAGTAAGAGTTAAAAAAAATTTTGAATTGTAGAGTATACATTTGAAAATGTAATTTTAAATGGCAAAATTTGAGTGAAATCTGTCAAATAATTCCCGAGAAATCTAATTTTAAAAATACAGCATTTTCTAAATTCGATTTATCAGAAACTATTTCACTGATTTTGCTCAATGTTTGTATTTATCCATTTAAAATTGCTTTTTTTAAAATGATGTAAAAAATTGTGTACCTTACAATTCAAAATTTTTTATACTATTACTAAATAAAATTAAAAAAATAGTAATTATTTTTTTGAAGTTATATTTAGTATGGAATTCATCTTGATAAATAAATTTGTTTTAACTGTGGGTAAAATTTTTTTGGATATGGATTGGTAAATATGCTAAAAGTAAAATGAACATTAATAACCTAACTCTGGACCACTCTCCTGACCAAACTATTGGGATAATATTTCTCAGATTGCAAAACCCTTCTTATTTTGAGGGTCAGAAATTTGAATTTGTTGAAAAAAGGTATGTTTATTCAGAGAAAGTACGCTATGTTTCATTTTGAAATATCTGCACAAATGTATTAGCATATTTGAGGTTACCCCCTTAAATCATTAAGATTGAGTTCTAGAACGTAAATATTCTATCATAAGATCAAAAGTTTTTTTTGCTCATTTACAACAAACACATAAGAAAGAAATAATTTAATAAAATCCAGCATCCCAATTAGCATTAATACAAATTTGAACGCAATTGGAGTAAAAGACTTTTTTAAATTAGTGATGTAACAAATAGTGATGGGGCCGAATACAGAGTATTCGGCCAAATTTTAGTCTGCATACCGAATACTTACTTCAAAAAATTTCTTTTTTGATTGTAATTTTGTAATTAAAGTAATTTTCAAATTTTAGATTAAAAATGAAATAAAAATTAACAAAATTGCTTTTTTAATCTATTTAATATATTTAAAAAGATTTTAACAACTTGATTTATTTTTTGTAATAATTTAAATATCTTGATGCCAATAACAAGACAATATGGCTTTTATAAATCTAAATAATTAATAATAGCATATTTTAGTTATAGTTAAACTTGTAATTTATATGCTATTTTATTTAAAATAAGAACTCATTACTACTGTTAAATGTATTCTTAACTTTCTTTGTCAGAAAAATTATTGAAACTCAGAAAATTAAGAACTTTTTAAAAAGTTTCGCTTTTGAAATTTAAATTTTGTAATTAAATAATTTTCAAATTTTAAATTAAAAATGAAATAAATATTAACAAATTTGCTTTTTAAAACTTTCTATATTTCAGATAGTATTCATACTTCTATTTAACAAACTATATATATTTGCATTTTAATGTAAAAGATTCCAATGCTTGTATAAATACATATGATGATAAATTTGCAACAAGAAAACGTTTTTATTTATGTAACATTATTAAGTACACTTATGTATTATACAACTTAAATTGAGTAAATGTTAGATTTTCTAATAATTAATGCAGTGAAATGTAACTCTGCAATATTCATGATTAAATATATTTAAAAGCACATTTAAAAAAATATCTTTCTTTATTATTATGAATTTATTCAGCCAAATATCTAATCATATTCGGCCGAATGACTTCAGCATTCGGCTAGGCCGAATATTCGGCAAAAGGGCCGAATATTCGTTACATCCCTATTTTAAATTAGATTTCTCAGGAACACTTCAACTTAGTAAACTTTTTATAATAGATAATATAATAAATCACTTTAAATATATGTTTGGTAATCTTTTATAATTTTCCTAGTTTGAGTTAGCTTAGGTTGAAAATAAAACTTCAAAGTATTGTCAATTTACTAAAAAATACAGTTTTTGTTACAGAAAGAAAAAAATTTCCCAGAAACTGATGAGTTTAGAAAATTAAAAAGAAAACAGCAAAGGCAAGGAAGAAAAGAGGAGAAGAGTGGACTCTTTGTTTATGAAAAAGTTGTTAAATTTAGTAGTTTAGAAGAGGATGAAGATGTTAATATATTGGAATAAATTTCTATCATTTAGTTAAAATTCAAGTAATCATCAATGGCTCATCACAGAAGTACATTCATCCACTTGTTTAATTTATTTAAAAATATCAAGCTCAAGCATTATATTTGTCTTTTAAAACGAAAGAATTCATAGTTTTAAATAACATTTATAACAACGATAACATTTACTTAGAACACAGGTTCAAAGTAAATTATTTAGAATCAAAATAGGGTGCTGGTACAAATGAGTTTCATTACAGTGACTGCCTTTAATAAAATTCACATTCGCCAAAATATTACTTAAAGCAAGCTCACTTTCGAGTTAATTTTTCAGTTTTAACTTTTTTTTATTAATTATGATCATGCATTATCACAAGTAGGTATAGTTAATAATTCAAAATTTAAAAAAAATTTAAGTATTTGAAATGAAGGTGATTTATTAAACTGGAGGCACTGTATTTGTGCACATTTTACATCAATGTAATAATCATGTCTTACATTTTCCAATTGTCAATCAAAAATATTTTCACCATCTTCCTGAAAATAGTGAGATTTAAATTTGCTGATTAGAGTATGGAATGTTTGGTGTAAATATTCAAATGAACACTTAATCTAAATAAAGAAAAGGTGTTTGCCTTTATTTTAATAGGAAATTAGATTACATTTTTCCATTTAGATCTTTGAGAAATAATTTTACCTATATATATCAATCAATTTTGTAAATTATGCCATTGTGGGACATTTTTGATGGTCTTCCCATTTTGTACATTTGTATATACCATTTGATATGCGATTAGAAGTTTGTGATCAAGCAAGAGAAAAGTAAAAATTGTACTATTCCTCCTTAATTACTTTTAGTAAAAATTTGTAATTATGGCCAATTTTACTTTGCAAAATATATGAGTTTAAACTTAGCATATTTACTTAGTGTAACCGTTGACGAACTCCAACTGCTACGGGTATTCTGTTATTTCAGAAAATATTTTTCCTTGAGGTAGCAAGTTTTATGTATTTATAAATTAGGATTAAAGAATTTTGTACATCACTAAACACACGGAATTTAAACAGATATATATCTATGTATATGTGTGTATATGCATAGATATATTATATGTTCAATTATCTGGATCAGTTTCAGTCTAGTTAATTGGTATTCTACTGTAAATATATGAAGTCATATAGACAAAATACATTAATTTTAAAATATTTTTGACACAGGAAAAAATATTTCACCACAGCTTCAAATAGTTGGAGTCTGCATTGATGTAAATTTTTTTTTGTTGATTAATCGCTCATATCAACCTTTGAAATGTGACTTAGTTAAGATGTTTCAAATATTTTTACTTCAGTGATTGATAGCTTGCAAACGTCAAATATGTTTAAAATTAGTGGAGATAACTATTTCCATGATACATAGGTATTAACAGTACAGTCTGATAATGAAGCTATAAATTTAAGTAGTTATATAACAAAGTGAGATATTTTTATAAAATTTTTACTCTGTTAAAAGTTGAATTTTTCATTTTAAACATATCTACTTAACTATCTGTTGTGATTTCTAGAAGTGTTTGTTTTTCATGATAATTTTCTGAAATTTAAATTACCTGAATTTTAGGTAGAGTATTAGCTATTCATAGACAGAGTAACAAATCCTATTGTATATGTTTAATAATTAAAGATGAAAATAAGATCTTCAGTGCTTATTGGGTTTTCTGTCTGCAGAATCGTTCTATATATATTGCATGAAACTAATTACATTCTTAATAAGTTTTACAATTAAAACTACCATTTACTAAGTTATACAATTAATGAATTATGCTATGCTTTGTGCTTAAGAGTTCAAAGCATGTTTCAAGAACTTTGTTTTTAATAAATTCAAAAAAGTGACTGAAGTTTTACATGGAAATTAAATTTCTTTGTGTTAGATGATGTGTGAAAAAGGTTTTGTATTGATTATGAAGATTTTTAAAATAGGTATAAAATGGAATCTTTCACGCATGTATTAGAAAGTATATATAAAAAATAAGGTTAGCACTTTCAGTACATTCCCTTGTTATATTTTGATTATGTAAATTTCTCTGAGTAATTCTGTCATATCTATTAGAAATTTCAACTAATTTTCTTTCTTTATAAAAATGCTTGGCGTTTTGGTATTTTAATGTACACTACAGTTTTGTACTTTTTGTAAATTTTATGATTAAAATGTTCTGTTTCCTATTGAGTTGTTTCTTTCTCGCTATTAGAGCAAAATGAGCATCTCTAGAAACGAATTCAAAAAATCAATGAAATTAGAACATCCAAATGGAAAAAATACGCTTAGCAGCAGAGAAACCAAGAGGATTTAAACAAATGAGACAATAAAGAAAAATTAGTAAAAACATTGAAAAAAAAATATGACAATCAAAGTTGACGTCATCAGGAGGTACCAGCTTTGAATAGTCATAAAAAGCAAAGCTTTTTCTATGAAGGCAAGTCAAAAATCCATTCTTCTCTAGATATATAACCTAACCACAAACTCGTCAATTTTCCGATATTTCATGTGCAATTTTATTGCAGTTCATAATCTAATTATTCGCCTTTTTGTACGTTGTTGTAGTTCATTTACGCTGCACAATGGGCTGTTGACGGTCTGAGGATGATCCGAAGACATGAAATCACAATTTTGATTCTCTGCAGATGGGATGGCACCCCGCTTCGGTAGCCCGACGACCTGCACGCGAAGTCTAGCACTTTAAGGGGCAGAACAGTTTACGAGGACCAATACCACACACCTTCGGTCACTCATCCGCACACTGACCTCAGTCAGTGATGCTGGACTTCGGTGATCTGCTGGGAACCGTGTCTTAACGATCAGTCCACTGCTGGACGCCTTTTTGTACATATCTGGCTTTATTAGTACTTTTTAACTTTTGTAATTTTTTTTAATAGGCTGGACTATTTGGAAGTTTAATAATTTTAATTCAGCCGGATAATTTTTAGGTTTATTACAATCAGCCAATATAGCTTTAGGCTAATAAGAAAATGTGCGAGGAATTACTCAGCCTTATTGCAAGGAGCCTTGTCCTCTGCCTGTGCTTTGAATAGTGATCTGGCACTAGTTTTAATTTTAACTTATTCCTTCTGTTTGGATTCGTTTTACTAAGCCTCCTATATTTCACTCACATCTCAGCGATAAGCCTTCCCTTTTCAGGACTGTAGCACACGGCTAAAATAAACCAGGTTCATTGAGCCATAATTTGTATATTCTCTAGTTAACATAAAGGGGTTTCATTGCCTGAAAACTGTCAGGCTAAGTAGATACTAAGTGTACTTACTATCTATAAGTCTGGCACATTGCAAAGTGACTGGTGAATTTTGAAGGTCCAAATTTTCAATTAGACTAATATACATTAATAAGGAATAATTCCACAGTTTATCAAGGGAAATTTTGTTAACAAGTTGACATCCCTTAAAAGGCAACTGGAAAAATTGATAAATATTTGGATTTTTTCAGTCGTTACTTAATTTCCCCCTACAGCTGCTAAGAAACGGACTTGGCTGAGAATAATATAGTGCTTGCTTGCAAAGGGCTTATAATAAAAAAAAGAACTTCTTTATAACTAAATAGACTGGTTCCGGTTGAAATATTCGCTATAGGAAAAATTTTGTTTCACGGAAGCTAGAGAATTAAGTAAATGTTACGACATTTGTAGTTTGATAAGTTCAAAAGTATGTATATATAAATATGACTTAAATAAGAAGGAAGTTATGCAGAGTTTAAATGAGTGTTTGGAATTTAGAAATTTTCCTTCACATGGAATCCAATTTTGTATCATCGTTGGGCTAATTGTAACGAAAATCGAAAATATTAACGACTGAAAAATTCTAAAAACTAGGAAAATTTTATTAAGAGATAAACCCCTGAAAATTCGGTAATAGAGAGATAAACACTTTGTTAAAAAAAAAGAATATTTTGAGTGTTATTTAACATTGATTAAAAATTTTGCTAAAGGAGGAAACTTGTTGTAAAAAGACTATTGCATTCTAAAATGCGTAATAAAAGCTGTTCGCAATTTGATTTACGAACCTTTTTTAGAAGAAATTTAAAGATATAACTTTGTAAAAAGTGACAGTTTGAGGAAGATAAAAATAATTGTTGATTATCACGGATTCACACATGGTTTTGCTTAAGCATACTCATTTATTCAGACTACAAATTAAAGATTTCTATCTGATAACCATACTAATTGGCTTTAAGAAAATACCTAAAATATGTGTTTATACCAGGCATGAAAGTTTTCAGCTTTTACTCTGAATTCAGCTTTTTTCAAAGCTTTTTAAGCTCCATACATTTATTAACTTCATAATGTTTGATTGTGTTTATGTAGAATTCAGCTTTTTTGGCTAACTGGTACTTTCATTCCTGTTATACTTAAGTGATAAAATTCAACATTTGCATTCTTTGAGAATGTTAAAAGCGTTACAGCAACACGTATACTGATAAAAGTTATGAATCTATCTGATGACTGATTATCTAGGTTAAAAGTGCCGCGAAAAGATTCCAGTGAGGCAACGATTCCATTAATCTTTAGATGCTGAATTTTCATTAAACATATTTTTCATGGTTTTGATTTAAATTTTTTATTATTTTGTTCCAATTAATTTAAGCCAAAATAAGAGAAAAATATATTTAGAATTATAACAATTTAAGGTTATGAAATAGAGATAGATTGGCGCAGATCGAACATTTATTTAAGTATGAACTGACTGTTCGTATCCAAATTTTCACTTGTTTGCAGTTATTTAAATGAAGGAAGCTTTAATTTATCATTGTTTTTTTTTTTAATTTACAAAATCAATTATTGAATAGGAAGGAAATAAAAAAAAAAAATTTCAAGCTACTTTTTTTGAATTTTATGTTTAGTGCAAATATGATTCCGATTATCTAATATATTTTTTTATTAACTATCAAACTGTTTTATAATTAAATATACCAAAATATAAAGGTCGTACTTAGAGCGTCAGAAAAGGGACACCGGTGTCCCATTTGTGTCAAAGGGATAAACCTTCCATCTAACCTGCATAATCTCCCGTACTATAACAATACGTTGAATTGAGACAGCTTGTCTCTCAGTGGTTGTGTGGAAAAGTTGTAAACTACCATCAAAGAAGTATGGAAGATCTTATCAATCGCTTCTGTGGGCATAATGAGCCAAAACTTTTGAAAATATGACTAAAAATAAAAATTCATAGCAGATTTTTGATCGGTTTACATTAGCGCTTAAAGCTTAGAAGTTACTCTTTCTTAAAACGAAAATCTGTTCAAAATTTTAGAATTATAATTTAGCCAGTTTAAGCGTGGAATTTAATTTTAGAATTACCCCACAGGACGCGGAATTTAAATCAAGGAACGTGTATACACGTCGAACGAAGGGCAAATTGTCATATTATAAATTTTACGAAAATTCATAATATAATTAATAAACAATGTAAGAACGAAAAACTAGAAAGTATTAAATTTTTATGCAATAAGAAATTAAAATTTCCAAAAGGTTAACTGTTATTAAAAACTTGTTAAGAATTGTCAAAAAATGAAATACAGCATAAGAAGCAGCAGAGAATTTGATAGATTCTTATATTCAATTCAAGAATATCTTGGACTCTGCCTGGTAGAGTTGCGTTACCAATAAGCAGGGCAAAGATTGGCCTGCTATGCTTGAACAAGCATTGGTCTAACGAAATTTCTTCGCAAATCAACTCTGGCCGTTCAAGTCTCGGCTTACGTATGTAATTAGTTTTGGGCCACGAGCTCCCCTTCCGAAAAATAAAACACTCAAGGGGTGTTATTTATAATATTAAGGAAATATTAAATTTTCTAATTTTATTTAATTGAAATTTCGAATTTATACATGACGTGCGTCTTTAACTGGTTAATATTTTCTGACGCATCAACGGCACCAAAATTTACATTAGTTCATTAAGGGAGGCAGAATTTAACATTCTAAATTGCTGTCTTTTTGCCTCCTTAATAGACTAATCCAAACTTCGGTGCTGTTGATCCAACAAAAGATAATATTTTTGTTAAGAAATTAACTTTTAAGCACTATCATGAACCGATCAAACTGCGATATTCTTTAAATTTGATACATTTTTAGTCAAATTTTCGAAATTTTTGTCCCCTTAGATTCAGAGTTACATTAAGATATATGCCTTTTATGATGGTAGTTAAAAATTTTACTTACCACAAAAAGATTCAAAACATTTCCACTTTTTCGATCTATCATTCTGTACAGGGTACGAGTATATTTTGCATTATTATATGTAAACGATTAAGAGTTTCGTGTTGTGACCTTGATTTTAATTTCTTATGGCAAAGTTAACATTGATATACGGTTGTTTTCAGATTATAAGCTCATTATTTTATTAAAGGTTAAATCAGGTTTGAAAGTTTTTAAAAGAAAAAAATAAGAAATTCAGTTTGAAACATTTTATTTTTTAAAAAGCTTTGCATTGAACAACTTAAAACTACATAAAGGTTAAAATTTTAATTTAAAAACATCTATATATAAAACAATTTTAAATTGTAAAACAAATTCATTGATGAACATTCTAAAATTAGGCACAATTTTTTTTAAACTGTGCCTATTTGTTTTTGGAATTTTAACAATACAATTAACAAATTTCACAAAATTGTAAAAACTAAACTAAAATTTTAAAAGAATGTAACTGAACAATCTAAACTTTTGGTGCAATACCGCTCTCAATTGAAACTTCAGAGTCATATGGAGTTCGATCAAATGTTGAATCATAATCTATGCTTGAACCTGTAAGAAATAAACCGTAATTGGGGAAAATAAAATATTGCAAGAGTCCAATAATAATTAAATATGAAATATTAAGAGCTTATGCAAAGATTTTATAAAACAAATAGGCACGAGCGTCATGATGAGGATGGAAAAACACCATTCTCCGATAGTCAGGAACTGTTCTGGAATAAACCATAAATCTTAAACTGATCAATTGTGAAATAAAGTGACAATCCAGCTTTTCGCCGAAAGATTATTTGCTCCTATGCTCTCCATAAAGTTATTCAACTATTAAATTATTTTGCGTAATGTTATAGAAACTGAATGATGTGTACTCAGTTGAATCAATTATGGAGCATTATTTAGCAAGATTACAGGCTCTGATTGCACAAGGAATTCATATACACCTACCAATGCTTGTAAAAACTAAATGCTGGATTTCGCATTTGTATTTTTTGCTTCAATTATAAATTCAAAATACTTTCAAACAAGGCTATTTTGTTGAATATGTATTTGCATGAGAACTTATTAGAACCTTGTATATACACTAAAAATAAAACTTAATACAAAACCAATTTAGCTGTTTGTTAAGGCCTGTTTACACGGTCCAATTTCTTGAATCCGAGAAATTGGACGGATTTCTCTGTCCAAGAAATTGGATGATTCGTTGACACTATCCAAGTTCTTGAATGTCGCTGATTCGTTGAAAGAAAAACTTGCGCATGCGCATTGTTCATATTCAACATTATAAAATAATACTTACATAAGTTTAAAATTACTAAATAAATTCAAATAAAATCATAATAACACAAATAAACCGCAACAGATCAATTTATTTGAACTAAAATATATGAAAACAGACAACAAAATGACATAATTTGCTGCCTGCTTGTTGACGTCACAAAACCTAAGACGCTGATTGGTTAAGAGAGAAAAAACTTGGATGGAAAGTAGAACATGCTCTACTATCGTCCAAGAAGTTGGACCAAGTTCTTGGATGTTTGTTTACACGATCAAAGCTCAAAGCAAGACAAGTTTCCATCAATATCAATCAATCTCTGTCCAAGAAATTGGATCGTCTAAACAGGCCTTTTGATTCGTCTTCCACACATTCATAATATGATAATGCATAAGACTAACAGGAATTTATTTCTCGAAAGCAGCAACTTTCTGAAAACTTGTTGCCCTTTTACAAAAATAGAATTTTATAATTGAAGAAGTTACATATGCGACAACAAATGATTAACAAATTGTTACAAAGTTAGATAATTTAAAATAAAGTTTTAATTTACTTACCGGTAAATGATGGACTGGTAACTTGTATAGTAGGATTTGGTGCCTCGTATAAAGGTGTACTAACAGCGAGAAATTTTGACATCCTACAGTGTTGGCCAGCTTGTTCTAGCTCTAGAGAATCTCCTGTTGTTGGAGGTTCCTGGCCAGGCTGGAAGTTTCTGTTGTAGAACTTACGATTCCTGAAAGAAAGCTCATTCAGGGTAACTAATACATATTATAATTTCGTAATAAAAATATAAACATTGTGATTTTCCAAACTGACTAATCCCTATGAAGTTGAATTATAAATGTTGTGGGCCGGACTATGAACAACATTTTGGCTTCTCAGACAAACTCATTAATCTGAAGGGTTTCAAGTCACTACTTTTTTACAATTATTGTTTTAAATAAAACATTAATGGACTTTGAGAAATAGAAAACCCTTCTATAAACCAGATTTAATGGTTTAAACTATTACCACTATTTAAATAATTTACAATTTATTCATAAATGTTGACTCGAAACATTGAAATTTCGTAGTGACTGAGTCATCGTGATTTAATCTCGATTTAAGAACATTTTTTTATATTTTCTTAAAAGGTTTTATTTTCAACTTTTCAATACACAAAATAAAGAGATCAGGTGGCGATTTTTAGAGTATTTTACTGTCACCAAGATAAACACACAACTATTGTTTTGGACTTAAGCTCGTACGTTCTAAATACAGAAAATGGAGCTCACGTTTTCACGATAAATGCTACAGCACCAACACTAAACACCCTTTCTTTCATTTCAGACACTTGAGACAGAGCAAAGCATTTGTTTTTTGATTCTTGCCTGTTTTTTTCTCTTTACAATCAGAAATCTGAACACATTCATTACGAAAAATTTATATAAATAATTTTTACACATTATGTTAATGTTCTTCTCTTTCGGAACTTTATTTCTTTCTCACTTTTTTTCTAGTCTAATCATTTTTAAACGACTGGAAGACAAGGGGCTCAGTTTGAACGAAAAAATGCTTGGCTCACATGATCATTGTGTTTTGAGACTCTTGAGTAGTATTTCTTGTATACGTGTATTTTTTTTACTAGATTATTAGTGTTTAAAAAAAAAAGTTCTTATAAGAATCGTCATTTGAAGACCTGTCTTTTCAAAATGTAAGAATCGTCACTTGAGAAAAATTTGAGAACACTTTTTACTTTGCCAACAATATACAAACTTCGAATTTTAATCTAAATGATAATTTGTGAAATGAATTTAATCTCGCTGATTGAAAAACATGAAAACACTAAGTATGATGAAGCACGGCTTGAAACAAGAACAGTGATAAACAAGTAAAAAGAGGCAAAATCAGGACTGCCAAAAAAAAGAGAGAAATTTCCAAATATAGCAACCATGTCAGCTTTTTTTATACAATACATCTACAAAAAATGAAAACAAGTTTTCTCTTCAAACTCACCAGAATTACTTAATACTATTAATATTTTAGAAAATACAGCAGATTTGAGGTCATAAATTATATTTTTTTCTTCTTTAATTTAAAACAAAATTATGTGTTTGAAAATATCGCCTCGTAGAATAAGCTGTCGTAAGTAGCTGTATACTTTCTAACCGGAAGAAGAGCCGATTAAGAACCCAAGATTGTTGTTTAAATTTATATTGAAAACACCATCGATGATCCAATACCACCTGGATGAATCTTCTAAAATATGCGAACTTCATTTTTTTTCTACAAAAACTAGCGGTTTGTTAACACGTCTCACATTCGCTCTATTTTGAGTGTTTTTTTTTGTACCACAATCGATATATCTATAAAGTATGTTTTGAAACATGACAGGATAAAAGGATATCTTTACAGGATGTTCTGAAGCATGATAGGATGAAAGGATATAAATACAGGATGGAACACATGAACTCTTTGTGAAAACCCGATGAGATTAAAACATTTTAGAGGTTCGCTTTTCTTGCATTGTTATACTTAATATCAGATTCAAAAATTGGTGTTTAAAACGTACCTGTTTTTCTTGCAGTAAAATACAAATAGGACCACAACAGCTATAATCAAGAAACTAGCGAAGGCAAAACTGGCAATCACAACTGCAATAAGCAACATTAAATAACCTAAATTAATAGAATTTAACAATCTTCTTCCCATAGAAGTAACAAAAAAAGTTTATTACCTATGCCATTAATTTCACATCTCTCACCTAAGTACCAACCTTCGCACCTAAAATTAGAATTAAATAATTAATAACAAGATGCGCATTTATGTGGGTACAATTTTTGTTTTAAGTTTCGGAACACTTTAGTAAGGAAGAGTTGCCTTCTGCAATTAAAATGAAAACTGAAAAAATTTGTAAAATTTGTCAATACGTTCCGCTCGCAATAGTGCTTAAAATTTGAAAAAAAAATTTCGTTTTTATGTTTTTCTTAAGTTAGCTTAAATTTTTAAAGTAAGCGCCCTATTTTTTTAAAAATATTTTATGGTTTGAATAACCTAAAAAATTATTCTGCCTATTTAAAAATTTTCTATGCTAGAAAAACGTGCTTTTTTCCCTCAAAGAAACAAAACAAAAAAAAACAGAAGATTGTAATTTTTTTTACTCGTTTTGTTAAAACTGAAAGACTCAGAACACATGGCTTCGCCAAGTTTCAGCTCACATCCTATCCAATAAACCATCCAGTTTTTCCGTAAGGTATTTAATTATATTATAACTATTAAATTATTTTCAATAGTCTGTCTGAACATTGATTTTTCGCATCTATAACACATTTAAACAATTTTTGGAAAAATGAAGTTTAGTGTTTGGATATGTCCATCACTGGCTTCATTGTTCACATATTTTATTCGAATCTTCTTTTACAAGTTTGATACACAACCCAAGGTGTTTGGCAAGTAGTTTCAGAAATTATGATTGATCACCTTCATTTAAAGACAGAATTCTTTCTAATGATTTCAAAGTAATCCAAAGTTTATCTTTGGTAGTACGAAATTCAGTCTTTTCTTAACAATATCTGTTGGACAACAGAATCTTTAGGTTGTATACAAGAAGGATCTTAAAAGCAAGACAAATAGTTCCAAAAGACTGCTAGGAATTTCTTCAAATTGCTTTAAAATCATTAATTCTTGTTTAGCAAATCAAGACTTAAGATGATATTCAATCAATCAATTCGGGCACTACAAGAAACATGAAAGCTCTGTCTCTCAGGCCAACTTGTAGCATCGCATAAAGTATGTGAACATTTGAGCAACACAAAAGTCTAGATCAGTTCATGCCAGTCGCTTGGCCATTAGACAACTCTGATACTTTTCCACTTAACTGGAGAAATATTGTGCAGCGTCCAAATGCATCTTATCTTGGTCAGCAAGTGAAGAAAAATGATATCTTATTTGTCACCCAGAAAATTTTGCCCTTTCAGCCAATTTCGATAGAAGAGCCGTGATGGTTCCGGGGTGGTTCCATCGCCGGGATTCGATCCATCCCGGCGATGGCTGGTCGATATGAATTCGCCTCCGGCTTACACCGACCACAGTGCTGGCGGGAAATATCCTCAGTGGTAGACAGATCATGGGTTAGAGCAACACCTCCTAGAAAGAATAGGTCTCAGCACGGGTTACCATAAATATCCCTTAGTAGTCCAAACGTAATGACATATTTTGTATTTTCAACCACTGCGCAGCTTAGTACCCCTAGCGTAATGACATCTTTCTTATTTTTCGTCTACTGCGCAGTTAACCCATATCGGACCGCTCATTAAAACAATAGGAAAAACGTAAATTTTTAAAACCTTCATTAATACAGGGTACTTAAGCACATGAAATAAAAAAATTTAAAAAAGATTTAATATTTTTAAATATGCAGACTGTCCTATAAATAGGACAACGGTCCAATACACTACCAAATATTACAAAACTTGACTTACCTCAAAAAAAGTTTTTTTTACGAATGAAAATCCAAAAAACAGTCTCGACATAGACCAACATCGCACATTTTACATATAGTAATGGGTTTCTTCTTACAAGATTTTAATTGGCACCGTCTTTGACGACCATCAGGATTTTTAACTAGCACATGTTCTGAATTTAGAAGAAGTTCTTTGTTATTTTTCAGAGACATTATTTCGTGGGATTGTTTCACCAAGGTAACTTATTGTTATAGATCTGCGAAATGTTAGCAAATCCTGAGTATCGTCAGGTGAAAATAGTTCGGAAATTTTCCAGGCTGCGATGAGGGCGGTTTCAAAACAATTCACTAAACGCGACCAGTACCATTTTTTCCTTGAATAGATGCAAAGTAATTTTCCATATGACTGTCAAATAGGTCAACTCCATTTTTATATTTATTGTATGATGTAATACAAAATGGAACACCGACATCTTTCCTGCCTCCCTTTACACGACGCTGTATTTTTCCGTATACTTTTGTCTCTTCAAAATTAGTAAGCAGCGAAACTACACGGTTGTCGTTCCACCGAACAGCAGCTATTTTGTTCGCTTTATCAAATAGGGCATCGGATGTTCCTCTTTCAGTTTTAGCTTAACATTTCAAAGAAGTTAGATGGCATTTTGCCATTCGATTGTCTCTAACAGTTCCAGTAGCACAAAATCCTTGTTGTTGCAAACGAACCATCAATCCATGTGAAGTAAAAAAGTTATCCATATATACCTTATGAAACTTAGGAATTTTCGCAATAGAGAGCAAACTTTCCACTACACGCTGAGAAAGAGGTTCCTTACACTTTTCTTGAGCACCTTGATAAGGAATAACATTAAAAGGATATCCATCATATGAAGTCAACATCCACAACTTGTATCCAAATTTTACTGGTTTATTCTTCATAAACATTTTACACCCATGTTTACCGAAATACCTTACCGTTCTTTCATCAATGGTTAGATTTTCGATTGTTGCGGCGCAACATTGAGTTTTTCTAAAAGTGGACGAATTTTATAATAGCGATCCTCATGCATGAGTTATTATTAAAATGTAAGTATTTTTTTATGTCGCTATATCTTTTCCTGGACATAGCTCTATTTACTAGAGTTGTGCCAGTGTCAGGAGCATTCGCCCAATACATTTTTTCTCGTGGTAAAATGTGATATCCACTGTAGAAAAGGATTTCTATAAAATTTTTGAAATCATTTTCATCGACACTGAAACAATGATCATTTTTCTGAAACGTATATCGATTAGTTTCTGCTACTGTATGTGATATCATACTATCAGCCATCATGTGAAAAAGTTCAAAAGGAGTTTTTCCCGATATCTTGTCCGTAATATGTTGATGTTCTTCAGAGGAAAAAGAGCACGGTAAGAGCGAAAATTTTGGTTCACATTTTTCCCATTTGGGTGGTTTAGCATCAAACTTTATTTCTTCACAGATATTTGACAAAATTTCAATAGTTCCCGCAGAATCTCGAATTTCAGAATCACCACATGTTCACTATATTACAATTTGTTATGGAATCATCTATATCTTCTTCATCACTAACGGCGTCCGGTTCTGGGGGAATAATTATCATTTCAGGATCATCTAAATCCTCATCGGATAAATTATTCATATATTCTAGCGCTTCCTCGGCAGTTCGAAATTTTTTGGCCATTTTACTAGAGCAAAAATGACCAGACACATGCGAACTACAAAATAAAGACACAACTGAACTAATGGGAAGATAGGGAAGAACTGAATGAAATTTCAAGTGTATGTGCAATAGCCTACACAAAAGAACTGGTTTGGAGAGAGGGGACTGGTATAAAAGAATTCCCACCCATTATTTCCCACACCCCACCCATTAGTTACTTTAAAAAGATAACAATAAACACTGTCCCATGAATTCAAAGAATGTTCTCTAGAAGCATGGGTGTGTTGTGTAAAAGGGTGGGTATTGGACCGTTGTCCTATTTATAGGACAGTTAGAAAGCTCTTGTCAAAAACCTTATAAAAATTATTTTTTTCCTAGATATTTTTTGTATTTTGTTTTGCACCAATGATTAATTACAAAAAGAAAAGATGTTTTTTTGAGAAAAAAAATATTTTTTTAATTATATAATGGCTTTAAATTACGACTTATTTCTATGAGTGAATTCAATGTAATTTTTTTAATAACTTAATTTTTGAAATTCCATTTTTTATACATTAATCTCTTATATTAGACAAATTTTCATAACTTGCAATAGTTATTATGTGAATTATAGATGTTTCTTTTACTTTATTTGTAATTAATTCAACTGTCCTATAAATAGGACAGCGGTCCAATATTGGTCTTAACTTCGTCACATCGGACTACTGAATTGATCTGTGCTGAGGACTTTCTACTTCTAGGAGGTGTTAGTTAAAGTCCCTTTGCCGTTAGGCTAATTGTGGGAGGTTCTCGTGGCCTTCCTGTCCATGCAACGCAAATGCGGATTAGCTCCTTCAAAAAGTCCCCCACGAAGGCAAATTGCTCTCGGTACTTGATCCTGGAGTTCCCTTGTCTTCTGAATTGGGTTAAAGATTGCAAGGCTACGGAGTTCAACGACGGTTATAAAATAAAATTTCGATAGAAAATTTTGGACAGGACATTAGCAAATGCGACAGTACGTGGTAAGTAAAACGACATACTTTAATTCTTCATTTCTTAAAGAATAATAGTTTCTAAAAAAGCCGTGACCATTTAAAATCAATTTTTACATTTTTAGTGGTTTGTAACATTTGCTGAATTAGTGTTGACGGAATAGCTACACTGCGCTGGAAAGGGATAAGAAATCCAGTCACTGGCTATGAATCCTTACAAATTATTACTAATATCATTAGAAGACCTTTCTTCTTTCTTGGATTTTAGAAATCAAAATGTGTGGATGGTCGGAATCAAAAATTCAAATTTTAAAAATTAACAGGCCAGGATGGCCTGGTTGGCTGAGCGCTGAACTCACATTTGTGAGAACGGGAGTTCGAGTCTAGCCGACCGAAGACTCCTTTAGTAAATGGCGACTGGTGTACGTTAAATTTGTCTGGTCACAAAATCTTCCATGTTCCCATAACAAATCAATACCTCTGGGGGCACTGAATTGGAGATTGATCGTTCTCTGGTTCTGGTCAAAACTACGATCTGTGAATAAATGAGTCCACCCAATAATAGGGTGTGTCATAGATGGCGCCACTGGAAAACCAGAACAATTACACCCCTTCTACCTTGATAGCCGACAACAGCAACGAATATTCAACATTGCAGAAACCAAGTAACGGTTTCGAATTTAAGGAAATGTTCAAGGCAGTCTGAGAGGGAATAGCAGAAAAAAAACCGAATTTTAGTCTCATGCACAGGTTATTGAATAAAAAGATCTTAGGGATAGATATTTAAGGAGAAGAATTAACTTAGTTTTGAAATTACAAGTATTGTTATTTTTGTATGACAAGTTAACTGATAGAAAATGAAAGCTTGTATGTGGGAAGAAAGCTTCGCACCAATGTATATTCTTCATCATAAAGTCAAAATGAATTCTCGGAAGGTCAAGAGTTTTCTTACGATAGACTCAGCCTGACTAAGGCAGGGGCACGCGGGGCAGTTGCCCCGGGCCCCATATTAGAGAGGGCCCCCAAATCGAATAGAAAGTTTTTTTACGTTACATTCTTTAATGAACTTTTTTTTTAAAGCAAAATATCAGTACAGTGTAAAATCCGTCTGTTTTATGTTAGCTTCTTCATTAATCTATCGTATGAACACAAAAAATCTATTTTGTAAATCCATTTCTTTCTAGGGCGGAATTCAGATAATTTTTCGCAATTACGATGGACAAATTTGGCGAATGAAAAGCCTGTACTTTTTAGTATCACAAAATGTTTCCAAATACGGGCTTCTGATTGTCTTAATTGAGCCATCGTACTTGCATGAATTTAGCCCTAATGTCATCAAAGATATGAATTTTTTGCTGCTAGATGACAAATTTAACAATCAAAAAACTGCATTCGGCATGATAGACATACAATTATTAGAAAATCAATAGACCTGACCGAACAATATTTCGTCTGACCATTGGAGGAGGAGGGATTAAATAACTATTTTAAGCTCTAGTCAATTTTTTTGCTATTGATAATGAGGTGAAAAATTTAAATACCTCAAGATTAAATACCTCAAAATAAAATACCTTTAAATTCCTCCATATTAAATACCTTCATTACTGATGTAGTGAAGCAGAGTGGGGGCCCCTAAAGAAGTTTTTGCCTCGGGTCCCAATTAGGTTAAGTCGGTCCCTGGATAGACTTACTTTTATAATCATCCGATAAAAAAATATTGCTGTTTGTCGGCCTGTCTAATCACCATGCTTAAATGGTAAAAAGCGAAAACAAGAAATTAGTAGTTAAATTGTAATTGAATGGATGTCAATTATTAAAAAAAATATGCTTTATATCTAACGGATCATTAAAAGTTATTTCAAAATGGTTCCTTTAAGATATAAATACTTTGTCAAATGGGTTTAAATCAATATTTTTCAATTAGTCTTATTTTCAAAACGAATCTAATAATAATTATAATCACTAAAGGTTAAAAAATAGTACTCTAGCCATTGAATTTCAAAAGTTTCTTTTTTTAATAGAAAATTTTTCATAATTAAAACTATAAGTAAAAGTAACTATAAAGGTAAATATATATTTTTATGGAGTTAATTGATAGGACAAGAAAGTCATTTATATATAAATAAACGTTGAAATAACCGATTTTTGATGACAGTGCCTCATTAATAGAAAATAAAATTTTATTTTAAATCACTTACCTGCATTGCTTTTGTTTCAGATCCTTTAAATAGCACTTCCCATGATCTCCGCAGTAGCTGGCATCACAAATGCCTAAATTAAACAATGGTCATTTTAATTTTTTAGTTGTTTAATCTTTTTCATTTAGTGCTACGTAATGTTAATTTTTTTAAAATACAGAATCTCTGGCCAAAATACAATCTGAAATCTCAGTTACATAGAACTTTAGTAAATGTTATAATTTTAGTACAAAAACATTACAAAACCAGAGAACTTATCGCCAAGACAAATTAGACTTAAATTGTTACCTTAGATTTTCTTTTTCGATGGTTTAAAAGCACACAAGATTATAAATTTACCTTTTTTCAATATGAAGTAGTATGTTTAATAACCATATTAAAAATGAAGAAATCTATAGTTTGGGCTGAAACATAATTTCTTCAAATGAAGAGGACGATAGTAAAATAAATACAATTTTATTTTTAAGTCCTGCATTTATGCCGGCCAATTTGCATGATCATAACGAAGGCTTCAATTTGCTTAGGATTTCATTTCAAAAGTAAAACAATATTAAGTACTCTACATTCTAGATCAAGTACTAATTAAAATCATATTAATTGCTTATTCCACGTTTCCATGTCTGGTGAGCATATAACCGAACGTGGAAAATTATTTATCAGGAGGTTAACTCCCGAGGGAAACATAAGATAAATACATTAACTAAAGACATTACTGAAAATAGTAATAACTGAATAGTCGCTTTTATGTTAGATTTTTTCATCGTATAAAGTAACTACACTATACAAATTTAAATTATTAATTTAAATTATAAAATGAGGACTATAGTAATGAGCAATATTTAAATGTTTTATAACCCACGTTCACCAATGCAACTATCATTAAAATAGATCTTGAAGCAGAACAATAACACAATAAGTTTTTCATAAGATAGATAATCCATTCCTGTTAAATTAAAAATAACTAAATAAAAACTAATTAATCTTAAATGTGAGAGTAATTTTATAGGTTATATAAGCTTTTTGTATAAATTTCTGGTAGTGCAGTTGAAATTCTAAAAAAAAAGAAACGAGTCGTAGAAATGCTAAAGAAATCGAGCAGTTGAACTTCTAAGGAAAAGAATCGAGCAGTTGAACTTCTAAGGTAAAGAAACGAGCTGTTGAACTTCTAAGGTAAAGAAACGAGCTGTTGAACTTCTAAGGTAACGAAACGAGCAGTTGAACTTCTAAGGAAAAGAAACGAGCAGTTGAATTTCTAAACGAAAAGAAACGAGCAGTTGAATTGCTAAAAAAATAAACGAGCAGTTGAATTGCTAAAAAAAAAAAAAAAAAAAAAAACCCAGACAGTTGAATTGCTAAAAGGAAAGAAGATTTTTACTAGTATGACCTCAAGTTATGTCAATAGGGCATCTTTGCTAATTTATACGGTCGTTTGGAAAATTTCTACTTGGTGGTATAGTATAATAAGGTATTCAGAATTTTCTAAGAGTTAACCAACTTCGCCAACACAACTTGTAAGTCTACCTAACCTATGTTCGAATTTTTTTTTTTTGTAGATTAAACATTTTGAGATTTAGCTTTTAAAATTAAGATTTATATGCTTAAATACAAATATTACCTTCATTAAGAAAAATTTTCAGCAAAAATTTGTACAAGTTTGCATCCATGATGAGGTTAACAAGCGTCACCATCGTAATTGAACGAAAAACTTACAATTTTTCAAAAAAGTACTTGTTTGAAGTTAAAATATTTATCCTTAATATTTACAACTGTTTCTTAATATTTCATGTATTTCTAGACTTCCTTCTTTCATATTATTTTATGTATTTATATTTTCTTGCACGTTTTTCATTTATTTCTAGAGTTTTCATTACAAGTCGAAAGAAAGAAAATTTTCATTCTGTTAGCGGCATTTATTTTAAAGCACGAAACCTTTCATAGATGGCGTTGAGCATCAGAAATTTATTTCTTCATTTCCTATGTTAAGTATGAAACTTCTCTTTGTAATTAAATTAATAAAAATGAACGAGGCGAACAGAATGAAACAAAATATTCTAGATACTTCATGTTCAAAGATTTAATATTTTGTATCCATTTATATCTATTATTGATTGAAACGCTTAAATGTGTATTGCAATTGTTGCGAAAGCATACAAATATGTATATTTAGAATTAGACTTAAAATATTTAATTTAAAACAAAGGTTGTAGAATAAATTATAAAAGGAATTTTTAAGCAAAATCACTAAATTACTTATTAATTCAATTACCAGTGCTTGTAAATATTTTGCAAAGATTTATTAATTTTCTTTCTAAAATATTGATTTTTTAAACATTTTAACGTGATTTGAAGTGAAATGTAAAAAATATAGTGTTAGAAGTTGGTCCAGGTAAAAAACTCTTGACATTTAGAAATGATTTTGACAATTAGAACTGCTAATTAAACTTTTTTCGAAGCAAAGCTTCGAAAAAGTTTAATTAGCAGTTCTAATTTCAGTAGCAGTTCTAATTCAAGCCAAATTAGCAGTTCTAATTTGGCTTGATCAGAAGAGAGGTCCAAAGTTTGGACCCCTTAATGCTATTTACTTTTTGGTAATTCGCTATGTTTCGAGAAGTAATGTGAATTAAAGAAATTTTGCACACAATTATAAAATTTGGTAATCCAGAGAAAATTCCGTGCAAAAACAAAATCAAGTAAATATTTATTTCTTTTAGTAATAGTCGAAAAGATTTTGAATTGCAAGGTATACGATTTATTACGTCACTTTAAAGTAAGTCCTTTTACATGGCAAAGTACAAAATTTGAGCGAAATCAGTTGAATATTCCTCAGAAATCTAATTTAAAAAAGTTGCATTCTTACAATTCGATTTCTCGGGAACTATGTCCAATTTTGTATCTTGCGCTATGTAAACTATTCTTTAAAATGATGTAAAAATTCTTTTACTTAACTATTCAAACTTTTTTCGATTCGTTAAATAAAATACAAAATAAATATTTATTAAAAGTTATTTTTTGTATATTATCGTTGAATGAATAAATTTTATAACAGAGTGCAAATTTTTTTCCGATTCGCTTAAAAAATTAGATTTGGCGATATACGTAAACAGTAATATCAACATTAAGGAGTTAAAAACTTGGACAGCTATTCTGACCAATCTATTGGGACCATATTTCCCAGATTTGCGGCTACCCCTATATTCTGGTGGTCAAAAGCCCGAATTCGTTGAAAAATAAGTATGATTATTCAGAGAAAGTGCGTTTTTGTGTCTGATTTCGTATCTTAAAATATCTTTTTTTTTTAAAATAACAAGCGTATTTGAGGTCACCTTGAACCATTGAGTTCTAAAAAGAGATGAACTGATTATTAGATCAAAAGTTATTAAGGATGGTCCGTTTTTTATTTTGCACACTGTACAGTTTGTTTAAAAGAGTTAAAACTATTCAAATTTGTGTCAAAAGTTTTAAAGTTTTTTTTGGTTCGTAAAAAAAACCTACACTTATATATATTTTTTTACTGAGAAAAAATTTCACCCTGAATAGCTTCTATTTCAATGCTAGTTTCTCTCTCCACGAATTAAAGGCCTTTCTTAGTAATTTGCGGGGTACAGTCGTCAAATATAATAAATAATTTATGCTAACTATTAATCACTTTATGAAATCAGAATTAAGCACACTTTCTGAATAAGTATTTATTTGTATGCAAATTTGGATCTATGACAATCATAAGGAGGGTGGGAATTATACCAATTATACTGTCTAGAATTTATGCTCCAAATTATTTAGTGAAGAGGACTGTCGTAAGTTTGAGCCTCGAAATGTTCTCTCCCTTAGCGCATTTCGCCATTTCTCGGTTAAGGAAATCGTCTGCCATTTAATTATAAAACTATTTTATTTAAGGCTAATTCTACGTCAAAATTTATAATAATTGTTCGTCATATTTTTTAAATTTATTTCATTGTAAGTTGTGCAAATTTTATTTCAAGCTATGTAATTTTAAATGACAAAATACAAAATTTGAACAAAATCTGTCAGTTTTTGCTCAACAAGATTTATGTATTCTGGTTCATTTTACAAGTAGAGATTTCGTAAAATTAGCTGTAGTAATAATTTGAGTATTTCACTGTAAACAATCAAATTTTGAAATATTAAAATTTATCTAAGAATAAAGCAATAAAGTAAATAAAGTAAAATATTGTGGGCGTTTAATTTTTTGAATAATAATTTTGTGTGTTTTTAAACACAAAATGTAAAGTGTTTTTTTAAATCACAATTTTAATGAAACCTACATTTTATAAACTATTTGAGCATTCCTAAAATGCATTTGAATTTTCGATAGTTGAATTTGATAGTTTACACTTATTAAATTACACTAAAAGTTTCAATATATTCATCAAATTAATAAACAAGTCGCAAGTTCTGAACTGCAACAAGAAAAAACGAAATTTTCTTTATAAAGCTATAGGCATTAAATAGGCAAACTATAAGCATTAAATATTTTTGCCTTATTTGTAAATATTATATATCGAGAATCACTAAAAAATATTTTAAGCATTACGCGAGATAGTACTTTACAAATAAACTATAAATATCAAACAAAATACTACAAAAAGAATTTAATTATTAATTATGACAAGTTCTCTACAATAAAGAGAAAAACAAATCAATACCTCTGGGGGTACCGATCCAGGAGTTTCCTTGTCTTCTGGATTGGTTCAAAATTACAAGGCTACGGCGTTGAACATTAGTAGTCGTAAACCCAAAAATTGGGTCGACTGTTCAACGGCGGTCATAAAATAAAATAAAGAGAAAAAATATAAATAATTTCAAATGGTAAAATTTATTAAGGAACTTAAGTGAATAAAAAAATGATCGTCATTTTTAAAGAATAAAAGTCATGAAATATTTCACTGTTAACATCCGTTTCTTATGCAATTGCACATTTGTTATTGGTTACCACAGTAACATGGAAGAAAATAATGTAGGCGGAAAAGGGGTCATTATCACGATAACCGAAGAATAAAATTGCATTTTTCTCGACAGTATGTTTGTAAAAAGCCACTTTACTTTTGAAAAGCAAATATTAAGCAATGAAAAACATTTCTTTAATTTTTTTTCTTTTTTAGTTTATGACGATTTCTTTTTGTTATAAATTTAATAAGTTCCCCACTTGACAATTTATTTTATCCCCATATGACGGAGAAAATTTTAATAAAAATACTTTTATGCAGTATTATTCTAATCAGAACATCTAACAATTTTTGTATTTTCTTCGAACAGTATTTGATTCAATAATACTTAAAATTTTCGCACTTTCTCCTTGCGATTATAGAGATATTTTTTAATAAACAAAAAATGTCCATAACTTGAAATTAGTCTTTTGGGAAAGCTATTTTTCCTATGACTAAACACACTATTAAATGCATATAGTTTCTTGAAAAATAATTAACTTTCGAACTTTTTTACTCAAGTTTAACGATAACTACAAAACGGAAATAAATATTTGTAAGCGAAAAATATTAAGAAAAATTTACCTGTACAATTTTCTCCGGGATATCTTTTATCCCTAGAGTTATCCAAATAATCAGCTTTACATTGACATTTAAATCCTTTTTCCTCAGTTTGAATGCAGAATGCATTTTTATGGCAGTAATTCATGTCACTACTCAAGCATGGATTTAGCACTGAAATATTTGCAAAGAAATCTACATTGATATCACAGAAAATAGAAAATAAGTTTACCTATTAGAAATCTGTCATAAACAAAATTTATTATTTATTTCCGTTTGTGTAAAGAGGTGTTAAGAATGAAATCTTTTTAAAAATTAATTCGTGAAAAGCATGAAATTTAATGTATCATTAAATCCCAGCGATTTTAAATTTCAAAAATCAAAAAATTAATATTTTTTAAAATTTTTTTATTCTTATCTAAAATTAGAATGCAAGTAGTGGTTTGAATTTTATGAAGTCAGACATTCCATCTACCACGGAATCTCTGTAGTTTAAGAAAATATTTTTAGTTCTGGTAAAAAAGGGAGTGTGTTAATGTTTCAATAAATTAAAATTAAAAAAAAATTGTCAACCAATACTTAAAGAATTTAAACTGGTTTCTGAAAATGGTCATGCTATTACATTTAGATAAAGATTTCATAAAAATCCAGCTTATATTGAAAATTTCAACAGTTGGAAAAAATATTTCACTCAAACTTCAAATGGTGAAAGGTATCTAAAGTAATTTTGGACAAAAAAAATAATAAATAAGAAAAATCCTGACTGTAATATATTTTATCTGCTGGATGCAGCGAAACTTTAAATTCAAAATAAGTTCATTATATTGATATTCAAGAAAATTAAAGTAAATTTGGAGACAAAAAGGAAGATTTAAGAGCATCTTGTCGTGGGACCCTATATCTATTTAATACTGATTTAAGTAGGGATAGCATTCCTTAAAATTTTAATTTTAGATTTTTTAGTAACTTTATATTTTAATTCTAATTCAGTTCAGAAGGTTTTGTTTCACTTCATGATAATTTTCATAACAAAGTGGTCCTTAGTATTCATTCCAGATAGTTTGCAGAATTTACACTAGAAAGCAGCACAATACATATAAACATCTAGCATGCATAGAAATCGTGGCGTTTTTCATCAGAAGCGCCTCCCCGAACAATAAAATGTGTGACTAATTATATGAAGGTTGCCTGAATTGTACATTTTTTCACATTTGAATTTTTATAAATCACTTAATACTGACTTATTACTTTTGAAATATTTTAATAAAATGCAGTTATTCAGCTGCTTATATTTTTCGGATGAAATATTTTTGCACAAAATACAAAAAATAGTTTTTGCAAGATCTAAGTGGTACAATTTAGGATAACAGGTAGATCGATCGTTCTCTGATTCAGGTCAAAACTACAATCTGCGGATGAATGAATGGATGTATGAATGGGTCCGCCTTATAAACAGGTGTGACGTATGATGTGGCAGAAGTCGAATTCTTGGCCATAGATGGCGCCACTGAAAAACAAGAATCGCACACTCTGCCTTAAATTTGCTTGGTTTCACCAAGCAGGCTTGCCCGTGTGACAAGTGGCATTAGAGTCAACCAGGATAACAGGTGCTTATCACTTGCTCTCTAAATCGTACAAACATAAAAAAAAATTGAGCATTTATGGCTAAGTGAATAAGTAGAGTATGAGTACCACTTTCTTTAGTAGCATAAATATTGAATTATTGCAAGCATACTACCATTATTATAAGGCGATACAAGGTTAATGGTAGTTAAGAGCTACGAAGTGTAAGCTTGACTTTTATAAGAGCAGCTTGTTAAGAATTACTCTTTTATGATCTATAACTAAAATTTTTAGGTTTTAAAAATTGTGTAATTGAAGCCTTCAACGGTACGGGGACAGTATTGGCTTATTTAATTACATTACTAATAAATAATAACTAAACCATTATTTGAAAAACCAAAAATCATCACTTTACTAAATAAGATCTAATCATAGGGATTTCATTGAATTTACTGAAATTCCAATCTATACGCCTATAGGCTATCAAAAAGTTAGTATTAACACGTTGAATTGCACGCTAATTTTACATGGCTTGTCCGTCTATCCAAACGGTAAACTACAAACTAAATTTACAAATATTAGTCAGATTTTGCTAGTTTTTTTTAAAAGGTTTCGCATGGTATATCTGTAAAAAGTGAATTATATAAGCCTACGAATTGTTTAGAAATAGTGGTGGATGAAAATCTACTAAATTGAATTTATTAAACCAAGAATCATAATTAATAAACTACCACTTGAAAATATTTATTCGCTGTCCGGAGCAAGTTGGCATCTCTGTGTATATAAATAAAACTATTTTTGTGTGTTCTATATTGCATTAATTTCTTCAAACCTTTTTAGAAAGGATATTATAAAAATATTAAAAATTTACTCGAATTATGTGTTTCTAATAATCTTTGCTTCGCCGGTCAAAGGTGACCCCCATAGGTTTCCAATTGTTGCTCACTCACGACATGGGCTTAGAAAAAGTCATTTTTAGACAGTTTAAGAGGTTTGTTCTGTAGTTGAAATTAACTCACTTAAATTGTAAGATACATAGGATTTAGGCGACTACGTTTTAAACAAACTTATTCCAAACAATAGAGCCATCAAAGAAACTAGTTGTTTAACAACTAGTTATTTAACAATTATTTAATACAACTGTATTAAATAATCTGCAGATCAGCTACATCCTGACAGACGCAGGACGTTCAAAAATTACAATGAAAACAGATTCATTTAAATAAAAACGCAAGTTCTTGTTTCTTCTGTATGGATCTCCCTCGTGAAAAAAAAAATACTCTATCCGTATTCAAGGCTTCTTTAGAAATGAACGGCAGGAGAGGTACGATTTAGGCAAATTTCCTCCCAACTCTCAAATTAAAACACTCTTTTACAGTATTGTATAACTTCATAAGTGTTATACTTAGATTATTTTATTGCAATTATAAGCAAACTGCTCCTTAGTATCATTTCCAGATTGACGGAGTCCAAAATTTTCATATACATGAAAAATTTGTTTTTCATCAAGCACGCTCCCCTGAACAATAAAATGATAATTATGTCTATTCCAAACCATTTAATTATAATAATTTCTTTTGCTCGACTGTGTTATTTAATCTTACGTTACATAACATTTAGGTTACTTAACATTTAATCTTACGTTACATAACATTTAGGTTACTTAACATTTAATCTTACGTTATTTAACTATACATTTAATTAGTCACTTTTAATATTTTTGCTATAAGATAACACATGCAATTCCAAACACTCAATAACTGGAGCTACATTTTTTAACTCTGGAGCAAACTCTTCTAATACAAAAAATCGAAAACATTGTATAATCCCCCCCCCCGAAAAAAAGAGGGTCATTACAATACATTTTCAAGTTATTGTATTGCTCCTCTGCTTAATTAAGTACACTTTAAGAAAATTTTTATAACAGAATTCTCTGAAAACTAAAGAAAGTCACTAAATAGTTAGAAATTTCTTACCTAACGTTGATACTGATGCATTTTTAAACTCTAAGGATGCATTTTTTAGCTGTTCCTGTTCATTGATTATTTTGCTCAGATCCTCTTGAAGCTGTTGAGCCAACTCTGAAGCAGTTTCATTTCCATTATCCAGAAGTTTCATAGTATAATTTACAATCAAACTGCCTTCTTCAAAGCCAGTAATATCTACTTCGGCCACAGTGTGGAAAAGTTTAGGATTATGTCTTAAAAGATACCACATCTGGAAAAAATATCACATTAGAATATGCTTCTTTTTGTGAACAAAAAGAGTTTATATTTTGAGCTTCAAAAGAAACTTTTGTGAAACAACAACTTTTGTGAAGTCTCCAGAAGGAAATAAAAATTACGTTTTAAAGGTTTGTAGGGAAAACCCTAATGACCGGTAAATGATTTTTAGTGTTTCTTTTACTGATTTTTTGGGAGTTATACTCATGAAAGATGCGTAAAAAACATTAAAAGCAACATTTTAACGTTCTTTAAAAATGTGAACATATAAGTTGATGTTGTAAAATTCAAAGACGAGCTCACGTTTCAAACAATGACAAAAACTTTTTTTGGGACATTAGGCTTACATCTGCCTTCATTGAATTCGTAAATCAATCTGTTACATTTACATTATAAGACGCCATTTAGTGGCTCTGAATTACATTTTCATTATAAGACGCCATCTAGAGGCTCTGAATTACATTTTCATTATAAGACGTCATCTAGTGGCTCTGAATTACATTTTCACTATAAGACGTCATCTAGTGGCTCTGAATTACATTTTCATTATAAGACGCCATCTAGAGGCTAATAATTTTATCAGATTCTACAGATGTGAATATAAAATAAAAATAATACTTCCTATTAAAATAATCCATTTACAAAGCACTTTAATGAATTACAAAGTGTATAAAAAGTTTTTAATAGGTAATCTCGCTCCTAAGTAAACATGGATTAAATAATTAGCAAATTTGACATTTATTTTACAAATAAAGTAAATTTTATCCAAAGTTTTAATTTTTAATATTAGAGTTGATTAATAGCATATCGAATTAGGGTGTAGAAATGTTTAACTGAATATTCGTTGAATAAATGAACCCAACGTGGAAGGCAACTTGATCGAGTTTAAAACGCTGAAAGTACCCAAAAATAAAATTTAGTAACGAATTTTTGCAACAATCAACGCTTAAAGTAGTGTTTGTAATAATTTGGAATGTTCTCATGGGAGGCCACAACTGGGACAAATTTAAAAGGTGATGACAAATGCTATTGAAAAAATTCACTTTATAAGATTGGGTAATTTAGTAAAAACTAATTTTTAAACATGAAATGAATGCGCGTTACGCTGACTTTTCTCAACTAATATTGCGTGAAGGAAAATTAATTTTAAGCAATATTTGGATTTAATTAGTACAAGAAAATTTTTTTTTCTTTAAATTATTAGAAAAAGTTTCATTTAATAGCAGCAGTAAGACTGACTTGGTTCTTTACTTGAATTGTAACAGTATTATTTTGCAGTGTGTATACGTTACAGCGCGCGAATCATTTTAATCTAAATAAGTTGAATTATCACTAAAAGATTTTAATATTACAGAAAGATTTTGTTGACTACAATTAGATTCGTATAAATACGGATAAGATCTTTTAAATGCTCTTTTTAAACACCTGATAAAGTAAATTCTTCTCTTGGTGAAAAAACTTTGAAAATAAGCAATTTTAATTTAGAAACAAAGCTCCAATTCAACAAATCTTTTTTTGTTGTTGTCAAAACTACTGTTAAAGCAAGTATTTGGTGACTCGGGAAATTTTTATTAAAAGCACTCGAAGTTAGGACACCAAATGAAATGAAAAAGAACTAATCTTACAATTCTAATATAATCCCTCTTCTTTTGCTTGTATAGTTGCGTATTTATGTCTCTCAAATCTTCATAGAATCTTTCACCAGGAAGAGTAATAGATGTTTGTAAAGTAATTGTTGCTGAAAAAAAGAAAAACAATTACTCCAGGTTTAAACTATAATAAAGAATTTGCTGTGAAAATTGGTGGTAAAAAAGGAATCTTGCAATACTGATTTATGACATGCCATATAAAAAAAACAATTCAATTGGGAACAATTTTATCACTTCCCTAGGCAACTGAGCTAAGTTTGATAAAATGTTTTGATTTTTCTCCATCATACCAGATTTTTTCTCACAGTTGCTAAGTAACGAACTTTTCTAAAGATACATTTCTTTGTAAAACTGAAGAATCTTTCCTAGTAAATTACTTCAATAATACTAGCCAACGACATCTTGAATACAAGAATTTTTAAAGTATTTGTTTTTTGCTATTGAATTAGAAAAATATTGTATTTAAAGCTTAAAAATATATTTATTGTTGTATTTTCTGGAGCTCACAGAACGTGAAATAATGTGCTAAATAGATTTTTTGAAATTCAAATTTTTGGAGAAATTATATTACACAATTATGTAATGTATGGTATTTACGATTCTTCAAGTTACAATCGTATACAATAAAAAAAAAACGGACCACCTTGAAAAACTTGATCGGTACTTTATGGTCTAGGATTAAATCTTAATGATTAGAGAAGGTATCTTAAATATGCTGAATAATTAGTGCAGATGATATTAAAAGTTACGAAATCAGACACAAAAACGTACTTTTTCTGTATAAACATAACTTTTTTTTGAGAGGATTTGGATTATTGACCTCTAAAAGGAAGGGGGCAGTCACAAACTGCGAAATATAGTATCAATGATTTAGTCCAAAGATTGGACCCCTTAATGTTAATTTTTGCGTATTTCGTTATACCCCGAGAACTTTTTAAATGAATTAAAAAGCTCTTTGCACACAATTACAAAATTAATTTACCCAAAGATAATTCCATACAAAAAAATAACTTAGTAAATATCTACTACTTTTTATTATTTTATTTAATAGTAGGAAAAATTTAGAATTGTAATTTATAAAATTTTTTTACATCATTTTAAAGAGAGCAATTTTCTATTGCAAAAGAGAGAAAACGGTCATGAAATCGAGAGAGAAACCTCGGAGAGAGAAATCTGGAAAAAAAAAAGGAGAGGGGAATTCTAGAGCAAATTGGTCGAATAGTTCCTGAGAAATCGAATTTTAAAAAGTAATGTTTTTAAAATTCAATTTTTCTGAAACAATTCGATCGAGCTTACTTAGACTTAGCATTTTGCCATTAGAAATTGCCCTCTTTAAAATAACGTAAAATTCTAATACCTTACAATTAAATTTTTTTCGCTACTATTATTTAATGAAATGAAAAATAAATATTTACAAAGAGTTACATTTTGTATGGAATTATTCTCGGGTAAACTATTTTTATTTTTGCGAGAAAAGGCTTTTCAATTCCTCTAAAACGTTCTCGAGGTATGGTGAAATAGGCAAAAAGTAAAATTAAGGGGTCCAAACTTCGGACAGCTCTCCTGACCAAACTATTAGGACCATATTTCGCAGATTGCGTGATCTCCTTTATTTTAATGGTCAGAAATCTGAATCTATCGAAAAAAAGGTGTTTATTCTGAGAATGAACGTTTTCGTGTTTTAATTTGTAACTTAAATTATCGTCTGCACTAATTGATGAGCATATTTGATCTCATCCCTTTGAACTATTATGGAGTCGTAACACGTGAAGATCCGATCATTTGATCAAAAGTTATTCAGACTGGTTCGTTTATTTTTTGCACCCAGTACATAATCATGTATGGTTATGTATATTTCATGAACTATATAGGAAATATATGGTTATATATATTTTTCAACTATATTTTTATATGTAACCATATATGGAAAAATATTTCTCAATCTTATCTCATTAATTCTACAGAATCTAATTGTCAGTTTTCCTCGATTTTATCTGAATAAGGGAGAATTTAGGGAAAAAGTTTAAAAACAGGCTCTTTGAAAACGAGATTGTATCTTGTAAGATGTTTCATGTTTGTAGGACGTCTCTGTAAGGATTCTTCCTCCGAAATTGGAGAATATGATAATCATTAACATGTTTCACTTACTACAAGCTTTCCGAAAAAGCTGAATTTCATAAAGGTTTCAAGATTAATATAACCGACCTCCCAAATGCCTCTTAAAAATTTAATTTCTTGGATTAAAAGACAATATTTTAATTACTTTAGGATTAAAAACAGAGCTTTACACAGTTAGAAATTTCAGAACGTGTTTAAATAGATTTTTTTTTCTGAGTTCAGAAAATCAAAAATAACTAGTTAAATAAAAAGATTGTTTACTTGATGAGAGCAAACTTAAAATCAGATCCAATTAATTAAACAAAAAAAGTTTATTCAATTTTTTTGCTTAGTGCAAAATCCACCTACGTCAACATTTGGAAAAATGTTATATAAATGATAAAATACATTAACATTTGACACCTTGTACAACTTTAGTCAGTCTTTAAAAGAATGGACTAAGAAATTTCAAATAATATCCTACAAAAAGCACTTAAGTACTTTACTTTAACCACTTGTGACACGACAAGATGCTTTTATCACAAAAACGTGCAACTCCCCCCCCATATTCCGATTTCTATAAGGTCTACTGTTTTGGAAAAGCTCATTCTTGTCAACGCAGGTGGTTCAACACGCATAGTAAATTATACAATTTAAAATGAAATATATGTTAGTTACCTTCACATTTTTTTGTTTTCAGATTCCTTCTAAAAGCTTTACCACAGTTGCATATCAGAATATCGTCCTTTGGCATACATCGCTCGTTTAGAGATACATTGCACTCACTTGCACTCTCACAAAACTTCGGAGATGGGAGTTCTGGGTTAAGATTGACTTCCGTTGATTGCATTTCTTTCGTTGAAGAAGCAGGCGAGATTGAGTCTGTCATCGAGCTGTTATCTGAAAATAGTGTAGTAAAGAACTTATTTTTATTTCCTGGCATTTCAGTAAAAAGGGCCTCAAAGGGTTTTGAAAGATTAATTGATTCAGTTGCGCCATTTTCCTCATCTTCAACAGTAAGCGTATGATTCAGTGTTCTTTTAGTTTTAGCCCCTGTTAAAGAATTTGCTGCTTCTTCGACAGCTTCTGAAGTACCAGATTCTGTTTCTTCCTTAGAAATAGATAAGGTGGCTTCAGAATCCAACTTTTCAAGATCAAATAAATCATGCCCACGTGCTCCTCTTCTTGATTGAAATAAGTTAACAGATTGTGTGGGTCGCAGAGACATTTGAACCTCTGATACAGTTGTCTCTCGTTTTGAAGTAAAACCGGGCATATCTGTTGGGGAAATATCAAATCTGGCTCCTCTTCTCCTTGTAAGAGACCCTGAAGATATCTCAGGTTCTGGCTTAAGATGTATTTTATCACTATTGATTGGATCTGTTTCACCTCCTGATGAATCAACAATTACAGAGTCAGTAATCTTTGACTTAGAAGATATATCAGTTGCTTCAGGTTTTAAAGAGAAATAGAAACTATCTGGTGGAGGATCATCATTTAATTCGGTTGTTCTACTGGGCTCTGTGGGCTTAAAAGATTGAACGGACATCTCTGGTTCTGGTTCTAAATATATTTTATTTTTGTCTTGCTTACCAACGTCAATTTCAGTTAATAAATCAGCAAATATAGGGTTCTTTTTGTTAGAGTTAGAAAACGTACTACTTGCTACATCCGAATCTTGAGAAAACGAAACTACGGCTTGAGCCACCTCTGTCTCGTTACTTGGTTGTTTGTTTTCCGATGGGGTTTCTTCTGGAGTTAGAAAAATGGTATCAACCTGGGATTTTGATTTTTCTAAAGAAACATTTGAACAATTAATGCAAGGTTTCTGAGTTGTCAAGGAATATTCAGTTCTTTCACTGCTTTGAAAAATCGAATTTTGGTCTGAATTATCTTTTCTTGGATCGACAAATTCAACACTACCAGTGTCATTCATGAAAATTTCTCGATAAACAGGAGGATCTGTATTGATTTTGGTAATTATTTTCTCATTGATCAAACCATCAGAAGATGAGGTCACGGATTCAGGTGGCGATACATTATCGGGAAAATTATTATCTAAATTTTTAGTATCTATGGTAACTTCATCTAGCTTTCTTTCTCCACTACCTACATCAAAAGGCTCTAACGAAGAAAATTCATTGTTGTTATTTATCAAAATATAATTTTTAGAGATTTCCTTTTCAGATAATTCTTCCACAAATATTCCATCAGATACAGTAGTATTATGCAATTCTTGTAATTCGCGTGCACCACTGCCTTCACTAAAAAAATTTGGAATAAATCTACGACCATCGTTGGTCACGGGAGTTTGCATGAAATTAACTGTTTTCTCTGAAGAATCGTCCAGAAATATGCCACTAGTTACACTTTGGACATTTGTTCCTGATAAAACTATTTCTTTTTCATACGATGTAACATCTGAGGAAATACCGAATTCGGGTAATTCTCGTGCACCACTGCCCGCATTAAAGAAATTTGGGATAAATCTACGTTCTTCGTCAATCATGGGTTCTTGTATAAAATCGACAGTTGTCTTTAATGCATTTCCCTCTTCCAGAAATGGGTTATCAAATACACTTTGAACATTTGTGTTTGGCAAACTCAATTCATTTTTAATCGTATTAGTATCGGTGGAAATAAAAGATTCGGGTAAATCACGTGCACCGCTACCCCCACTGAAAAAGTTAGGGATAAATCTTCGCTCTGATATAAATGTATTTTGACCAAGAGTAACTTCTTTCAACTCGATTTCATCTATTGTAGTAAATGTATCAGAAATTATTCGTTCATCTGATGATCCAAGTTCTAAAACGTCATCATTGTTTAAATCACTGAAAAATATTTTTTTATCCTCCTGAATTATGCGTTCTGAGGGTATAATTTTCAAGTCTTCAGGAATTTCACTAGAGATTATATTTGGTGTTTGAGCATTTAGTGAAATAGAAGATTCGGTGCTTAAACCAATTAAACTCTCAATCAAAGGAGAAGCAGTTGATGTAGTCATCAGATGAACAACCGTTGACCTAGAAACCTTCTGTTGTTCCCCAGAATCTTCAACTTTCAAAGAGAACCCTTCTGTTACTGTAATCTTTTCCAGGTTACTAACAGATTCTGTTTGTTTGACGGGAGCAAAGTCGACCATATCAGATTTATCAGTTATCATACTTTGATCATGGAATGAGGGAATATTTTGAAACACATTTGATGTCGATTCACTAACTGAAGGTTTGTTTTGGAATGGCACGAATAATTCTGGTGTTGGTATACTTGTAATTTCATTAACTTCACCAATTGATTTTGTTTGTTTAAATGGAACGATGTTGATCATTTCAGATTTATCAGCTGTCTTAATTTGGTCATGGAATGAGGGAACAGTTTGAAATATACTTGAAGACAATTCTTCAAAAGAAGGTTTGTTCTGGAATTGGACAATTATATCTGATGCTGTCCTAGTTGTAATTTCATCAACTTTCACGGCACCTGTTTTTTCAATGAAATCGAAACTACTTCTTGATCTGTTTTCAGTCTCACTTATTAGATTATCTGGAGGAAATAAAGAGATACTTTTTGTTTCTGATAAAGTAGTTTTTTCTATATTTTGAAGAGTGCTAAATTCAGATTTTATTTGATTAGTGAAAAGGTCTTTACAATCCTGCACAGAAAAGTCTTTAGGAAACCCCGAAATCTCTAAATCATCGCTAACCAAGTTGCGCTGGTTTCTGCTTCTAAAATTTGGTATTATGTTCCATAGTCGCTGAAGAAGACCTAATTGTTGCTGGCTTGTTTTCAGAGTGGCTACAGTTGGAGTCGTCACTCTAAGACTTTCGAACTTATCTACATCAAAACTTCCACTTCCTATCTCTGTTTCTTTGAGAATTTCCATATTGTTTTCTGCATCTAAATGACCGCTTCCAAATTCAGCTGACTCATCCTCAACTCTGGGTGACTTTCTAAGACTTTGTACAAAGTTTCGGCAAAACATTTGAATCGAATCAGGGGATATATCTATAACGTTTATCGGTATGTTTGTTTGCATTACATTGTTTGTTGCATCAGTTTTTCTATCTGCAACAGTTTGTAATTCAGTTGAAGATTTCATTTCCTGTACGACACAACCATTGCAATTTAAAACGTTACTACTAAATGTAGGATTTGGAGTATTAGGTTTTGTAGCTTTTATAGTAGAATCTAGTGTTGTTTCGGGGCTTGTTAGTTGAAGATTTGGTTCCGGCAATGGAAGATCAAGTTTTTGATGCTCTGGGAGTAATGTTGAGGAAAATACACCACCATTTACAATTTTTATGTCAAACTGTTCAGTTGAATTGAAAAATGAGAGGTCGTGCATAGATTCAGTGGGAGTAACTTTATTAATCATATTTTCCCCATTTTCAGACAAAATAGGTGGGTTTTCTTTATTTCCACCACCTCCAAAATCTAGAAAAAGGAACTTAGCCTCCCTACCTCTTGAACTTGAACTTATCTTCTTAGTTTCTTCCCGAATCAGATTTTCTGAACTATTTTGAACAGTTAATGAGAAAAAATCCTTAGAACTTTTGGTAGACTCTTCAGTTTGAGAGGAACTAGTTTGAGAGGAAAAATCGAGAAAATTAAGTGCATCCTGGCTTCGTGGCTCGTTTGGTTCCTTATAAAAATTTCTCAAAGACTCTTTTACGACATGCCAAGAATGTTCCAGGTTTTTAAACTGTTTAGTTTTTCCATCAATGTAAATTTCTACATTCAGAGATTCTTCTTCCCTTTGATTTTCGTTGACTGAATTTTTGAGGTTATCAGTTTGTTTAGTAAATTCATCATCCAACTTTGATAAGCTAATGTTAAACTTCCATTTATAAATACTTTTTCTGATTCTGGCGTTTCTTTTTATTCTTTTTACTTTATTTTTATGATCTGTATCAGGAAAAGTATTTAGCGTTCTAAATTGGAAAAATTTCGTTGAATGACTCGATATTTCTTTCTGAGAAGGATCTTCTGCATTTTCAGTAGAGTATGATAATAATTGACGACCGAACAAGACTTTGGGTTCATCTTTTAGCATTTTATAAGATGAAAAATTTTCATTTAATAGTTTCTCTTTTGTTTTATTAAGTTCTTTCTTTGGTATAGATTCATAGTACAAGTAGAGCACTGAAAGAAAAAAAATCCAATTAGCAAGGCATTTAAATTTTATATATTTAAGGATCAAGTGCCAAATGAGAATTGCACAAGGTTATTTATATAATTCTCTTAAAGGTTTCAGAAGTCTGTTAAACTAGTCGTGCACTAAATACAGAAAAGAATAAAGTTTATTTTATTTTATAAATCAGCCTTTATAAGAACACCTCCGAATCAAAGCAGCAAATGAATTAAAATGTAGTTTAAGAGTTCAGAGAATTATAAAGTTTGTGTGTTAGAATTCGCTAAATTGAAATAAACGTGTTCATACAGAGGTCACAGTTGCCAGGACGAAAGCTCATAGTTGGATTGGGGAAGCTTCGGAATATTAAATATAGTTTGTCTAAAGTAAGAACTCCCCTAGCAATTAGTCTGGACCCGTGGCTGTGACTATGGTAACGAGGTATATCTATTTCAAGCAGGGGTGTGGGCTCGATATTTACATATTTCGTCTCGGGTTAGGGAGAGAAAGGGAATCTTTTCTTCGGTCTATTGTGTTAGCTCTAGAATGAAGAGAAGCTACCCTCTCTGAAATGCGCTATTCTTGTTTCCATCACAACAAACAGCCTCAGAGTTTGTCTACGATAAGAACTCCCGCATGTATGTATTAGAACGCATGTATTATTAACGAATGTATTAGTTGTAATTTATTTTTTTGCCATGGTTTTCTTAGTTTCTTTACTGTTGCCTTTTGAAAACTTAGAGAGAATTATCAAGAACCCTATAATTTCTATTTTGACTCACAATTATGCTTACAAAATAGTAGTCTGAAGCCAAAATAGTAGTCTGAATTCTCGGAATTATTTGAAATCGGGGAGTATGTTTTCTAAACTTAATGCACCAATCTTATTGAAATTTTGCACTTTTCTAGATAGGACTAGCAATTGAATGATTGAGTTACGTTGATTTCAGCTTGTACTTACTAGTGATATGGTTCAAATTTTATCTAAAATTTCATTACTTCAATCTGCCAAATTTTTTTGTCAACCTTACGTTTAAGTAATTAAAAAATTCCATCAAATGTGAAAAATTGCTATAAGTTTCAGAAATCATGCTAAGACATTTATCTTGATTTGTATCCAATAAATAGTTCATCTCATTGGAGCAACGGAGCATGAATCACAATATTCCTCTATGATTATGCAACAAACATTTTTATTGGTATAATTGCTTACGCTTTTCATTTCTGTTCTCTTTATCTTATTAATGTAGGTACTTTATTTGCGTCGCACTAGAGCTGCACAATGGGCTATTGGCTACGGTTTGGGAATCATCCCTGAGGATGATTCAAAGACATGCCATCGCAATTTTCATCCTCTGCAGAGGGGATGGCACCCCTGCTTTGGTAGCCCGACGACCTGCGTGCGAAGTCGAGCGCTTTACAGTAAGTCAGTTTAACGAGGACAGATACCGCGCACCCTCGGTCACTACGCAGGCTGATCAAAGTGGTCACCCATCCGCTTACTGACCGAAACCAGGGATGTTTGACTTCGGTGTTCTACTAGGAACAGTGTCTTTATGATCAGTCCACTTCTGGACTTTAATATGAAGCAAAACAGAAATAGGTGTTATCTGTCCAATGAGAGTTTCAATAAATAACTTGCAGATATTTTATTTATTCATCTTGTTAAGGATGTCAGTTTTTATACTTTAGATTAATTTGATTAAATATTAGTTATCAAATCTCAACTTATCACAAAATGCAAATATTTGTTAAAAATAAAGGGGCAATTGAGCCTCAAGATTGAAAACATCTTTCTATTTACCTTATTGTAGTTAGCAACAATGCGTTTAAATTTACTGTCAATAGCTTTTCCTTTACATCAATAACTGTGAAAAAGCATAAAAATAATTTCTACGAAATTTAAACATAGGGAGATGTAGTCATTTTTAAAGATAAGAGTTTAGGCTGCAATAATATATCATTTATATATTTTTATAATTAAAAGTATTTCGGTTAAACATCGAAAGAAAAAATTAAAGTCGAAAAACTTCTTCTCTGTAAAAGATTATTTAAGTACTTTGGCTGGAAACAACTTTCATTAAAAGAAAAAAGAAACAATCTTAATTTTTTTTTTATATTGGAAAATCAACGAAAAAAAAAAACGTTCGAAAATATCTGAGGTTAGTAAACTGTTTTTGGGCTATAAAAATCTTGAAATATCCTAGCTCAAACCCATCTTTCATTTTTTTTGATAGCCAAAAACAAAAAACACCTTTATATTAAAAAAATATGGCATTTTTCATTGCGAGGAAAAAACTGAGGTTAAAGTTTAAAAAAAAATTTATCAAAAAATTACTAGAATAAAGCTTTTAAATTAATTACATAGTGTTAACATTTTCCTTTCCAATAACGCCAAAATTGGCTAAGATAGACGTATGAGCCTAGTGTATTAACTCTCGCCATCAGAGTAATCACCCTAGTAGTTGTCATTTCGCAGTGGTCACCCGAAAATACAAAGGTTTTCCCTAAGTGTACTACTTTACTGCCTTTCTAGAGAAGATATCTTTGTGATTACGTGCTTGATATGCTGTTTGTGTCATAGACTTTATTTAGCTTTGCAAACAATTGAGGGCTACATATGAGCCACCATCTGTAGTTACGATATTTCATTTAATTGAATCAAAATGGCTCCCAAATAGAATTCCAAAAAAACTGAAAAACTTAGGTTCTCAATTAAAAAAATGACTAAATTTTCTAAAACATATTTTCGTGAAAATAGTTGAAAAACGTTGGTAAATTTTTATTTTATTTCTGACACTTGGAATGAGCCTAAAATAACTAAAAACTAATGAGCACTGATATCGGACTTTTGACTTTTTGATATCGGAATATTTAAGCACTTTTCTTGGCGGTAGGCGAAGTAATTTTTTTTTTTCGAAATAGCGGCAGTGACAGCGATGGCTGTAAGTTTTAATATAGAAAGATAACTTGGAAATTATTCAAGTGTCTTCAAAGAGCCATAATGGCTCAGGGTTGTTGTTGTGGTTCATTTACGTCGCACTAGAGCTGCACAATGGGCTATTGGCGACGGTCTGGGAAACATCCCTGGGGATGATCCGAAGACATGCCATCACAATTTTGATCCTCTGCAGAGGGGATGGCACCCCCGCTTCGGTAGCCCGACGACCTGCACGCGAAGTAGAGTACTTTACGGTAGCACAGTTTAACGAGGACCAATACCGCACACCCTCGGTCCCTACGCAGGCTGATCCAAATGGTCACCCACCCGCACACTGACNAGCAAGCGATGTATGTTATATTACGTTGCTGAGCAAGCGATGTATGTTATATTACGTTGCTGAGCAAGCGATGTATGTTATATTACGTTGCTGAGCAAGCGATGTATGTTATATTACGTTGCTGAGCAAGCGATGTATGTTATATTACGTTGCTGAGCAAGCGATGTATGTTATATTACGTTGCTGAGCAAGCGATGTATGTTATATTACGTTGCTGAGCAAGCGATGTATGTTATATTACGTTGCTGAGCAAGCGATGTATGTTATATTACGTTGCTGAGCAAGCGATGTATGTTATATTACGTTGCTGAGCAAGCGATGTATGTTATATTACGTTGCTGAGCAAGCGATGTATGTTATATTACGTTGCTGAGCAAGCGATGTATGTTATATTACGTTGCTGAGCAAGCGATGTATGTTATATTACGTTGCTGAGCAAGCGATGTATGTTATATTACGTTGCTGAGCAAGCGATGTATGTTATATTACGTTGCTGAGCAAGCGATGTATGTTATATTACGTTGCTGAGCAAGCGATGTATGTTATATTACGTTGCTGAGCAAGCGATGTATGTTATATTACGTTGCTGAGCAAGCGATGTATGTTATATTACGTTGCTGAGCAAGCGATGTATGTTATATTACGTTGCTGAGCAAGCGATGTATGTTATATTACGTTGCTGAGCAAGCGATGTATGTTATATTACGTTGCTGAGCAAGCGATGTATGTTATATTACGTTGCTGAGCAAGCGATGTATGTTATATTACGTTGCTGAGCAAGCGATGTATGTTATATTACGTTGCTGAGCAAGCGATGTATGTTATATTACGTTGCTGAGCAAGCGATGTATGTTATATTACGTTGCTGAGCAAGCGATGTATGTTATATTACGTTGCTGAGCAAGCGATGTATGTTATATTACGTTGCTGAGCAAGCGATGTATGTTATATTACGTTGCTGAGCAAGCGATGTATGTTATATTACGTTGCTGAGCAAGCGATGTATGTTATATTACGTTGCTGAGCAAGCGATGTATGTTATATTACGTTGCTGAGCAAGCGATGTATGTTATATTACGTTGCTGAGCAAGCGATGTATGTTATATTACGTTGCTGAGCAAGCGATGTATGTTATATTACGTTGCTGAGCAAGCGATGTATGTTATATTACGTTGCTGAGCAAGCGATGTATGTTATATTACGTTGCTGAGCAAGCGATGTATGTTATATTACGTTGCTGAGCAAGCGATGTATGTTATATTACGTTGCTGAGCAAGCGATGTATGTTATATTACGTTGCTGAGCAAGCGATGTATGTTATATTACGTTGCTGAGCAAGCGATGTATGTTATATTACGTTGCTGAGCAAGCGATGTATGTTATATTACGTTGCTGAGCAAGCGATGTATGTTATATTACGTTGCTGAGCAAGCGATGTATGTTATATTACGTTGCTGAACAAGCTATGTATGTTATATTACGTTGCTGAGCAAGCTATGTATCTCATATTTTGTTGCTAAAAAAGCTGTGCATGTAACTTACTTTGAGATTTTATTTCAAACCCGATTAATTTTTTTATTCATCTTTTTTGAGTTTTTCATTTATTTTCATCCGTTTTCTGAACTCTCTGTTTCTCTGATTTCATGCCTTCACGAGTTGTTTCATGTTTATGTATGGATGTTTTATGTTTCATACATGTCTTTCCAAAATTTTACCGGCAAATCCAAACG